TCCCTATTCCCTATGTCATAATTTTTCTCTGCAGGTGTGAGTTTGCGAGAGAAAAATCCACAGGGATGTAAAGGCACATCAGGACTTTCTCTCTGAGACAGAATGGCTCCTACTCCTGTTTCTGACGCATCCACTTCTAGAATAAATGGCTTGGTTGGATCAGGATGGGTCAGGACAGGTGCTGAGGAAAATAAAGATTTTAACTGTTCAAATGCCTCTCTTGCTTCTTTGGGTCATGATTTGCAATTTGCTCCTTTTTTGGTTAGGTTGGTTATAGGAGAAATTACAGAAGAAAACCCTTTAATAAATTTGCGGTAGTAATTCGCAAAACCTATAAAGCGTTGTGTAGCTTTAAGGCCCTTGGGCAACGGCCACTGTAAGACTGCTTCCAGTTTGCGGGGGTCCATCTTGAAACTGGACGGAGATATAACATATCCAAGAAATTGTTTCTCCGTTTGGTCAAACTGGTATTTCTCCAGCTTACAGTAGAGACCGTTCTTTAACAGGGTTTTGAGTACTATTCTCACATGTTCGTGATGTGTCTCTAGGTCTGGGGAATAAATGAGAATGTCGTCTAGGTACACTAAAACGAACATGTGAAGGTACTCTCTTAGGACATCGTTAGTAAAATCCTGGAATATCGCTGGAGCATTGCATAATCCAAACGGCATAACCAGGTATTCTTAATGTCCCATTCTAGTATTAAATGCATTCATCCACTCGTGACCGTCCTTAATCCTGACTAGGTTGTACGCACTTCTGAGATCGAGCTTAGTGAAGACTCGAGTTCCTTTCAACCTGTTGAATAACTCTGAAATAAGGGGAATAGGATAGGCGTTTTTTATCGTAATCCTATTCAAACCCCTATAGTCTATACAGGGGTGTAGGTCTCCTTCTTTTTTAGAGACGAAGAAGAACCCAGCCCCGGCAGGTGAGGAGGACCTACAGATATGACCCTTTCTGAGAGCATCCTTTATATACTTCTCTAAACAAATGTTTTCTTGAGGGGATAGAGCATACACTCCTCCCTTTGGAGGCATAGTACCTGGTAATAAATTTATGGCACAGTCATATGGTCTATGTGGTGGTAACCCCTCCGACTGGGCCTTGTTGAACATCTCCTTTAAGTCCAAATACTACGGTGGTATTTGTGTGGTCAGGGGAGGTGCAATGGGAACATTGATGGTACCAATTGGTTGTGGCATCTGCTTTAAGCAAACACCTCTGCATCTCTCACCCCAACTCACAATCTCTCCTTCAACCCAATCTAAACGTGGATTGTGTTTCTGGAGCCAAGGGAAACCGAGTATTATCAGACATGTAGGTGAAGATATGATTTGAAAAACCATCTCTTCAGAATGAAGAATACCCACTGAGACAGTGATTGGCAGAGTTTCGTGGGTGATGAGAGGCTGGGTAAGAGGCCTTCCATCAATGGCCGCTACTGCTATGGGTCTCTCTTTCTGTCTTAAGGGCAGGAGGAGGTTTGCAGAGAATTCTTTGTCTAGGAAATTCTCTGCTGCCCCAGAGTCAATCATAGCCTCACACTGTATGGCGGTCTTCTTAAAAGATAAGGTAACGCTGACAAGGAAACGGTTCTTAGTCAATTTAGGGGACATATACATCACACCTAATGTCGGTCCCCGTACGTGCGCAAGTTTTCCGGCCGAACTGGACATGAAAATCTTTGATGTCCCTTCTTGCCGCAATACATACACAACCCTTCATTACGTCTGTGTTGCCTCTCTGCCTCAGTGAGTTCTGGAGGTGGAGCTTGGCTAACCACCACTGGGTTAGAGAAACGAGGGGCTATGGACAAGTTAGGACGTCTATTATGTTGTTTGTTTTTCTCTCTTTCTCTGAGCCTGTTATCGATATCTAATAAAGTTATCGATAATAAAGTCATTGAGGTTAACCGGAAGGTCTCTAGCTGCGGTCTCGTCCTGTATACTCTCAGCTAAACCTTCTGAGAAAGCAGCCACCAAACCACTATTGATCCAGTCAACCTCGGACGCCAAAGTTCTGAACTCTATGGCGTAATCAGCTACAGAGCGACTGCCTTGTTTTATTCTCATTAGGGCTTTGGCAGCGTTCTTTTCTCTGCCTTTAGGTTCAAAAGTAGCCTTAAATGCTGTTAGGAAGACACTGTAATCACAGGCTACGGCGTCTCCACTCTCCCATAAGGGGTTAGCCCAGGTTAAAGCCTTTCCTGTTAATTGGTTCATCAGATAGCCAATTTTCGATTTATCTGTAGGGAATGAACCGGGGGAAGCTTCGAAGTGGTACTCAATTTGGTTTAAAAAAACTCTAAATTCTTTCGAATCACCTCCATAACGAGGGGGAGGTGAAAGGGTTATGGACGGTGGTTTATGTGACATGGGAGCCACTACAGGTGGCAGAACCACAGATGGTACAGGAGGTGCCTCTAAATAGGCAGTTCTCTGGAGCAAGGTCTGAAATGCCTGGGCAAATTGATCTAACCTGTGGTCCATATCCTATATACCACGTTTGTAAAGAATATGAGCATTTGATATTGCATTCCCATTTACTTATATATATTTCTTTGATGTAGGAATCCTTTGTAATTATTAGATTAGAAATTTTAGATATAGGTTTTTTGGAGATTACGATTCAGTAAATTTAGAGATTACCATGTTTAGTCTGTTGGTTAGTAGTTTAGAGCACATTTTAATATATAAATAATCCATGAGATTGGTCTATAGTTATTTACAAACATGGGATCCTTGTTTGGTTTTGGAATAGGAGGAATGATTGCTTCAAGCATATCTGTCAGAAAAGCAAAATATATAACAATTTAATATGGGTGAGATTACAGGTTCTAGTGTCTGATAGAATATAGCCGAGAACCCATCAGGGCCGGGAGCTTTCCACTTTTTAAATTATTGCATAACTTTAGAAACCTCTGATGTTGTCATAGGTTGACTAATTATTCAGTATCTTTATTTTGAGAATTGGGGAAGATGAAGGCCATTCAGGAATTGTCTTATTTTAGTTTCGGATTTATTCAAATCTGGTATGTTATATAACAATTCATAATACTTTCTAAAGGGAATGCCTATCTCTTGTGGGCAAGGATTAATTTTTCCATTGTATGTAATTTGTATAATTCTATTTGATTGGTTTTGTAGTTTAAGTTTTTTGTCA